CCCCCCCGCGGCCTCAGCTCCTGGCAATTATGCACAGAGGAGGGAGCGAAGGGATGTTCTGGCAGCTTGTACCCGGGCGGCCATAAGAAGCCATTTGTGTCGCCGGCCGCGGCGTGCCGGCCCTCGCCGCGCCCCGAAACGGCTCGGCTCGCTCGTCTTGCCAGCTGCGGGCGGCCGCCAACTCCGCCCCTCCGGCTTCCATTCGCGTGCTGCTTGTGCCACACAGCTCAAGTCCATCGTGCCGCTGGCCGTCATCCACGTCCTCGGCAACGTGCTCACAAACGTGTCCCTCGGAAAGGTGGGAGGGGCAGACGCGGCACGCCGGCGCGGCGCTGCTGCTGCATACGCGCAGCAGCTGCTTGGGAATGTGGCGGCCCCCTCACGGCGGCTGTTGCAGCCGTGTGATGGGGTGTAGCGCGAGGCGCGAACGGCGCCGCTGAGCCTTTCGCCCATGGCTCGGCCAGGCGGCCATGCGCGCATTGCCATGTCACGCCGACCCCGCCCCAGCTAGCACCTGCGCCATCCTCCCCTTCCCTCGCGTTCCCTCTTGGCAGACATATTCTGTGCTTCGATGATGCACCGCACCTGCACCTTTATCGTCAAACACACACATCCACACACACACATACACATGCGCACACACGCACATCCACACACAAGCACATGCACCTGTCATGTGACATCATTCGCTGCTCTCATCCAAAATTGACCCCTTGGAAAAACAGGTGGCGGTGTCGTTCACGCACACCGTGAAGGCCATGGAGCCCTTCTTCAGCGTCATCATGAGCGCCATCTTCCTGGGCACCGTGCCCCCGCCGCCGGTGAGCGGGAAGTTCAGCATGAACTTTGCATTCGGCGCCCCCTCCCTGCGGGCCCACTGCCCTCTGCACAGCGCTGGAGAGGCAGGCCCACTGGGCTGGGCGGTTCCAACGTGTGTTGGCATCTGAATTCAAAATTATTCTCACATTCTTGAGCCAACACGAGTCCGGCCTGGGTAGGTTCCCGTTTGCAGCGCCTTTGCCGCGGCCCTTGAAACCCACACCCTTGTCCTGTGGTCGCGCTCGCGCTGCGCCCGGCAGGTCCTGCTGACGCTGGTGCCCATCGTGGGCGGCGTGGTGATCGCCAGCGTGACGGAGGCTACGTTCAACTGGACCGGGTTCCTGTCGGCCATGTTCAGCAACATCACCTTCCAGAGCAGGTGCGCGGCAGCTTCACGCACCACGCGGTTGGTAGTAACATGTACCGTGGGTGTATACATATGTACATGTGGGTGCTGATACTGGTAATCACGCATATACGCATGCATACATGCATGTATATCGTACAAATTTTCTTTTTTTCCATGTCATGTCCCAAGTGCTGAGGGATAGACAGAGTTGCAGTGTTGAAACTTTATGTGACGTGAAATGGGCCGGGCTGAGTGCACTGGCATGGGCGCTGGCTCTCAGCCGTGCGTGCGCCAAGGGGCCGCGCAGCTGCTTTTTGATGCGCGGGGAAAGCGACAAATTGGGGGGGCTGCCTGCAGCAACGCCCACGTCACACAAACTTGCCCAAGGTCTGCGACCTGTCAGCAAGTTTGAGTGCGGATGGGCCAGCCCTGCGACGACCTCGAGCTTGAGTAATCTCCTCGCTGCAATTCTCCCCTTGGCCCGCACCGCGGCCCCGCCGTCCGCCACGCGACCCCTTGCCACGCAGCCCCCGCCCGAACGCGCCCACCGTCTCGACCAGCACCGTCCCGCCAGGACCCCTTCCCTCTTCAGCCCCCAAACCCATCGCTCACCTGTCCCTGTGGGGTCGGCCCTCCTTGGGTGCTCCCCCCGAC